CAGTCAGAAAGCTCCTTAGATATAAGAATAGCCAGAGTTCATCTCACCTACTTTGGTCATGGTGTCAGAAGGGACCATTCCCTAGAGAAAGATATTGTACTTGGTAGAGGGTCAGCCAAGAAAGGGAAGATCCTCAATGAGATGGATTGACACAGTTGCTGCAACGATGGGTTCAAGCATAGCAAGAACTGTGAGGACGGTGCAGGATGTGGCAGTGTTTTGTTCTGTTGTATATGAGGATGCTGTGAGTTGAAGCTGACTCTCCAACACCTAACAATGCAATGACAAGTGCAGTAAAAATAGCACACATCTTATTCAAAACTGAGAGAATGAAGAACCGACTGAAGAGAGAAGGAAAATGTTCTGTATTCAAGGTGCTTTTATTTAATAAGTAAACAAAGTTCTTACCTGTGCTTTTTTAATCTGCACAATTTTTATTTGCTTTTCTCAATGTCATGGAAGAAATTTGATTTTATTTGGAAACTAAGTGGAGATAGTTTAACAAAGAAATTCTTACAGAGATTTTAACTGTTTCTACCAGTTACACTAAATACACTAAAAACCATGTTTATATGAATTCATAGTAATATTTCCAATCCTGATTCTTGTTCTATGACTTCCTTAAAGGCAGGACTGTGTATTGTTTAAGTACTGACTGTCTTCACACTCATGGAAAATATAATACAGAGAAGAAGAAAGTATCTTTGGTCCTTTTTTATTTATTTGTAATTTGTTCTTAAAATTTCTTGTATTTCATGTTTTGAGATTAAAATTTTTTTTTTCAAGGACTGTTTTAAAATTTTAAACTATAAAACAGATTTCATACATTCTGCGATAAACAAAAACAAACAATAAGGCAGGACTCTACATAAGCAAACTGAGAACAACTGTTTTTCAGAAAATGTGATAAAACGCTTTACAATCATAAGCCATACAGTTTTAAAAATAAAACTGTTGAAAACTCAGAAACCATCAAGCGGCACATACACATACAGACGCCCTTGAAGAGGGAACAAAATGTGATTCTGCCAATTTGTACTGTTCTCACATATGTGAAAACCTAATTTGCCTTAGAGCATAGATCTATTCCATATCCTAAAATTCACACAGGTTGGTTGGTTTGTTTCTCAAGAACCATATGGTAGAGGCACCAATGACAATACAATTTCATTCAAAGATTCTTGTAACAAAGCATTGTCTCTTATAAATATATGACTTAAGAGGCAAAAAAGGAGTCCTAGATGAGAGTTTTCTTTCAGGAGCAGGTTTTGAGCCTGCTCCACTGAATTAGCTTCAGAGCTGTGCTCTGTAAATGTCATGAACAGGGGAGACAACAGCTCCCTTTTCTTCATCTTCATCTGAATCCTCATTGAGCATCTTGACAGCCTTGGTGAGTACTGCATTACTTTCTACTGGGCTCTTGCCTTCTACAGTTAGCTCTGGAGCCCCGCCGGTAATGGTCCTTACAGCTTCCTCTACAGTTTGGTATTTTGCATCTTTGGAAAATTTCCATCAGTTCATCCACTTATACAAAAGGACCCTAGAAACAGATAGGAGGAGGGAGAAGTTTCATTAAAACTACTGCTGCAGGTGGCACTGGGAACACTCCACCAGGGACTGGGTGTAAGCCTGGAGGTGCTAAATGTCATGGCTGAAATGGAATCATCTGCTGAGTGTCTGGTTTAGGCTATTCTGGTTTTCTATCCACTTCGTCTTTCAGAACAGGCACTACAGAAGAAGCTACAAGTGGGTCTGGAATTATAGCTGCTAGTTTAGCACGGGAAACATCCTTATAACCCAGTGCTTTGAGTTCACTTGCAGAGCAAGGATATAAATCCATGAACTTGTGTCTACCTATCAGTAAAGCCGTTTCTTTGCCTTCATATTCTTCTTTGTAAGCTGTAAACCATCTTTTCTCCACCTTGAGAATACTAGCTGTTGTTGTTATTGTGTGCCATCTCTAGATCACCAATATTACTTTCAAAAGCTAGAAATCGGGCCCAGATTTCTCAAGACTTCTCAGGAGGAAGGCTTCCAGATGTCAAAACTTGTTCAAACAAAACTCAGGTATTATTGTCCTTATTGAGGTGAGATAGTCCATATAGGCCAGGACATATTCTGGAATGTCTCCATATTTCTTGAGCCCAAGCTCAAAAGTCTTAAAGGTAACAGATTTGTCCTTACTATAGTAATATTCCATGAGTGCTACAGTAACATAGTCATGGTAGCAGGTTCTGGTATCTTCTCTTGTGTTTTTAAATATCAGTCTTCCAGATTTGATACCTTCTGCTCTCAGAAGTACAAATTTCATATATTGGATAATATATACCAAGGCAGGGACAATATCTTCAACTGCCAGAAGTCTGTTATATATACTGTGAAGCTTCTCATACTTCATGTGACTCTCTTCTTAATCTGCATATGCAAAATAAAGCAGCATATTCTTCTTTAATAAAGTGCTTATGGTTCTTTCATATATATCAGCGCTTCATCACTAAACAATTTGGCATTATTCATATCCCCCTTCTCTGCCAGCAGTTTACTTGACTGTTCAAGACACTGTGCAGCTTCATACCAAATATCAGGATGATGGCCCAGAACAAGCAGGCAGTGTTCATATGCAAACATAACTCTTTTTGTTATAAGGGTCTGCTTCTCTGTATAAAGAGGGTTGCTCTTTTTCCACTCTATGTATTTCTTCCACATGTCTACTTGCTGAGCTTCTTGAGGATTATTCTGAGGAGGCACTGAGGGTTCATTGTGGTCCAAACCTTTCATTACCATCTCATATTCCTTTGCTACATGCCTAGCGTTCATGCTGATCTTCACTTTTTGTTTTTGCTAAATGAGTATTGATACCCTCTTCATATTTATTATAGTCTCTCCAGAGTTGTTCAATGTTGATCATTGGATTACCACAACCTCATTGATAAACTCTTTGGACAGCTGTTATTCTCTGATTTTCTGCATAAGATCCAACAGCTTCCATGCCTTTTAAAAAGTTGATGTAATCCACCCAAATCTGATAAAACATAGCTTCCATTCCAATTGTATGTAGGGCAAAGTCATATGCTTGAGCCATTTTTCTTTGTAACTTGGTTTCTCGGACATATGAAAGATAACACTTCCATAAATCCATGTGCAAAATCTTCATAAGGCATCTCTGAAATAGTTTTTCAACCTTGTCATAATTTTTAGCTTTAATTTCTAATTCAATGCAGTTTCCAGAATCTGCCAGAACTGGGCAACAAGGTGTTCATAAGTCTTCCATGCTTCGTCTATAGGTTGATTCTGTGCCTCTTCAACGAGAATGCTCCAAGCGTCAAGGTCACATGGATTCTCTTCTAATTTCTTTTCAGCTTTCTTCACCTTCTCTGGGACATATGCAGCTGCCTGCTCCGTGGCTGCATCTCCTGATATGGGCTCAGCTGATCAGAACGTACTGGCCCCCAATGTGATGCTAAAAAAGAAAAATTAAACTAAAAACCACCCTTGAACCACTAAAGTTACCCCTTGCCCAGCAAAGCCAGACCGCCAACACCAAACTCCACCGCCCACTCAAGATATCAATTTCTTGAATTTTAATTTTGAGTAGATAAGATTTACATGGTTCAAAATTCAAGGAACAAAGGACATAACAATATAGGGAGTATTCCTTCTACTCTTATCTTTTAACTACTCAGTCTCTCTGTGCCCTCCCCCCAGCAATCAAGGTTTCAACTTTCACTTGGTATTTTAGTGGTAGTCTAAGTGGTAGCTTGCCTCCCCTCCCACCTTGTTATTTTTTAAGATGACAGTGAAGGACTTGAAGTTTATAAAGGTATCATTACCCATCATTAATGAACCACAGTCAAGTAAATTTAGACTTATGGCGATCCCATGTGTGTCAGAATAGAACTGTGCTCCATTGGGGTTTCAGTGGCTGATTTTTCATAAGTAGATCACAGGCTTTTCTTCCGCTGCACCTCTGGGTGGACTCCAACCTCCAACCTTTCTTTTAGCATCCCAGTGGGTTAACTACACTATCCAGAGACTACAAAGGCATCTTACTACTTTGAAGCAGAACTAGGAGCAGAATCTAGGTCTCCTGACATCCTAGTTTACTGGTCTTTGCCGTATTTGAACAAAGCCACATTGCCTCTTTAAAGAGGCGAGTTGGTAACCGGGTTACTCAGGGTAAATGGTAATACAGGTAATTTAGGTTTCAAAGTAGCTTGGTTTAAGACTTGGACACACAGGAGGGGAAAGGCTTATCAGAGGGACTGATAGACGAGATATTTTGGTTCTTCAAAAGAGGCAAAGATTTTAAAAGGGGTTGAATCACACTGTTTGGCGTTGCGGAGCCCAAGGATGGCGCGTTGTCAGGCCCAGAGTGCTGACGTCAGCTCTGCTCTGAGCCAAGTTCTCGGAGGGACTTGCGTTCCGACCTTGGCCACTGGTGCCTCTAACAACGCGACTCAAACTCAGAGGCCTTAGAGTTGGTCCCAACCACCTCTGATCTCCGCCTAGACACGGTTCAGAGGGGATGAAGCCTCGCCGTCTTCCATTTGGGGGATCAGATGAGTGTAGAGCAGGGAAGAGACGCCTAAGCGGCGGAGTCGGCCTCTTGTCAGATTTCGAGTAACTTCTATAAGTCGGAGTGGACCTCTCTGGCTGTGGCCGTTCAACCCGTACCTTTCTTACCCCACCACTTCCAATTAGAGGGCCACACGGTAGGCAGCAGATGCCCACAGCCAGTCCCTTTAGGCAGCCTGCCTCCACCCCCGCCAAGAGCGTCTTCTCTGCCTCGCCCTAGCTCCCTAGAAGCTCGCCCCGCCCTGCCTTTCTCTTCTAGGGAAGACCGATCACGCGGCTAAGAACGCGATTCCGCGAGTTGGGCACTCCGCCCTGCTAACTACAAGACCCCGCGTGAGAGTGGGAAGGAACCTTAACAAGCAGCCGTGCGCCCCAATGGTTTTCCTCTACCTTCGAGTGTGGGCCAATGAGCCGCGTGGGGCGGGACTTCCGCCTTGCCTCTGTGTTGTCGTCCCCGCTCTGGCTGGGGGTTGTAGGGATCGGTGCGGATATTCAGTCATGAAGTCTCGGTAGTGGCATCTTCCGCAGCGACGCGGCCAGTGAGCCTGTTTGTGTTCCAGTCGTCCGGCTTCTAGGTAAGAACCCCTCTAGGCTCTACGGAGGCGGGGTGGTGGTAGGACAGTGTTGTCACCCGTGGGGCCTGGCTCGGAGAACACACCCCCTCGCCCGTCCTCCCGCACCCAGCCGGCCCTACAGCGAAGGGCTTTGCTGCTCCCCCCAGGCTATTTGCTAAGTTAGGGGTGGGGGGAGGGAAGAAATGAAAAAAAACGCGGCCCTCGGAGGAATGAGACCTCCCCTACACAGCCCAGTGTGTTTGTGTTTAAAGTTGTTGCTTGTTGATTTTGCTTCTCTTATTCTCCTCCGGGGGCGGCAGAAGTCTTGAAAGATGTTTGGAAACCTTTTCTCGATCTAGCTCTTGCTACAAAATCCCTGGGCGAAATTGCTTGACTTTATTTGCGGGGTTCTTTGTCTTTGAATTAACAAAAGGACAGTCCTCTCTTTTCTTTCTTACTTTCTTTTTTCCCCACCTCGAAGCTCAGATTGCAGTTTGGGACGTGACTCTGCTAAGGCCAGATACCACGTCCTTGCCCTATTGAAAGTCAGCTGCTCTGCCAGGAAGCTTATTGAGTTGACCCGCAGTGATGAAAGGCTCTGTCTGCCCCAGAGAGGGAGTGGACAGACACCAAAGCCAAGAGATAGTATCCCAGGGCACAAATGCAACTTTAGTAGCAGCCATTGGGTGTTTTCTGCCAGTTTTTGGGAAACTCCTCTATTTTGTCCAAATCCAGCAGTAGTAAATTTCAAAAACTGTAGTTTCACCCATCATTTCAGCACCGTGGGCAGCTGCCCAGGTCATCTCTTGTTACCCTAAACTTGTCCCGCTGTTAATATACGTCAGCGATGCAGCTTCTAAGCACCAAAAACCAAACTCACTGCCATCGACCTAATTCCGACGCATAGTGACCCTATTGAGTTTCCAAGGCTGTTAATCTTTACTGAGGCAAACTGCCTCATCTTTCTTTCGCGGAGCGGCTGGTAGGTTCGAACCACCTAACTTACCGACCTTTTTTGATTAGCAGCCAAATGCCTTAACAACTACACCACCGGAGCTCCTAGCTTGTCAGCGGAAAGGGTAAAACACTAATGCATTCCTTTCAACAGTGATGTTATTCAACAATGATGTATTCTCCAAGGAGAATATCTGCAGTTGTTGAGACAATATAAAGTGGGTGTGCCTCCAAAGAGTAGAGAAAGATCGATTCAAGTTTTAAGGAGGGACTTTTTTTTTTTTTTTAAAGCTCCAATTCAGAGTAACAAAATTGGATTGTGTTAAGAGTTAAAAAGCTTTAAACCATAAGTAGTAAGTGTAGTGCATTTCTGTAGTGTAGGGCAAATAGGGATTCGGTGGATATTGGAATCAATTCGGTGCACTGACATAAGCAAAAGAAATAAAGAAGGGAAGAAAGTAAGCAAGCAAGTATCAAAAGGCATTCTATGGAATAAGAGTAAATATTATTTCGTGTAGGTTTTGCTTCAGATTTTAAATAAATAAAAAAAATATGTGTGAAGGCAAAGGTAAGTATAAAGCGTATTATCATAGATTATAGCAAATACAAATGTTTCAAAACACTGGAGCCCAAATTTAGGAGTCAGCCTGGGTTCACATTTCAGCTCTGCTACTCTGCTACTTGCTAATTGTCTCACATTATCTGTAAGTAAGAGTAGAGTTGTGAGGATTGAATGAACTAGAATATGTCTGTTCCATAGCTAAGCCTCAAAGTTTTTCTCTTTTTTTTTTTAATTGTTGAATAGAAGCCCAGTTATGTTTCTCTATGTAAGGAATGACAACTGCTTTGTTGGAGTATTTTTTTTACCTCTGCCTTCATTTGAAGTCATCTACCTTTGTGTCTTGTTGCCAGTGAATGTACCCTGTGTTGTATTAAGTCATATGCACAAACTCTTGGTTTGAGAGGTCTAATACCAAAGAGTTTGGGGTAAATTCTCATCTATCCTTCTTTAAAGCTCTTTTTCTTAAGCATTTTGGAGGAATCCAAATTGTTGCTAGAATTCAGTTCTCTCCCTTGGATACTTTTATGTATCCCACAATAACATAGTTTTATCAGTTTTTCAGAAACTAATTTTAGGAAAGTGTATACTGGACTGAGTATGATAGGCTTTCATCTTTGAATTAAATTGGGTAAGAAGGAAGTTTATATTTTATAGTTCTTACCATAGAGATGTCAGATATCGTGGTGAGCTTATTTCATGTTGAAATGGCCTAAAGGTGATTGCCTTTTAAATAAAAGTATGATTTTTGACATTTAAAATTTGAGAATTAGTTATGTTATTAGAAGGCTAGTTTTTTGAACCATTTGACATGTTATTACCATATGTTATACATATGGTAGTTTCACTTGACATTAAAAAAAGGAAGTTTGTAAGCTTTGTTAGTCTTCTCAGAAGAGGAAACAGGATTAGTAGAAAAGTGAATTCCTTTTAATAAAGCATGATGGTGAATCACTATTTAAAAATTCATGTATTCTGCAAATATTTATTGAGCATGTATTCAAAACCTAATATTAAGCTTTACACTACACAAAAGTTGTTTTGGAAGCAATAAAAATATATAATTTGTGTTGTCAAAGTTAACATAGTATATGAATAACAATACCAGTAATAGTAGTTAACACTGATTGTTTACTGTGGGCCAAATACAGGTGTAAGCACTTGAAAATCCTCACAAAATTCTCACAACAGTCATGGATATAGTAGATAATACTGTTATCTTCCATGAATAGTTGAGGACACTAAGAATTTTTTTGGAGGTTAAAAACCAAACCAAACTCACTGCCATCGAGTCGATTTGACTCATAGCAACCCTTCGGGGTTTCTGAGGCAGTATCTATATGGAAGTGGATTGCCCAATCTTCCTTCCAAGGAGTGCCTGGTGGGTTTGAATGGCCAGCCTTCTGGTTAGCAGTCAAATGCCTTAGGCACTATACTGAGCTGAAGAAAAGCTTTTGGTGGAAGGGGGTTTAGGAGGAGAGAAGATGGTAAGGAGTTTAGTTTTGGAGCAGAGTTGTTCAGACATTTCAATATGTGAAATGAAAACTGGGAAGCTCTGCATATTCTGTGAAAAGGCAAGCAACTAGGTGTTCACTTTCTGAGGAAATGGCCCACAGCCTTCATTCCTCTGTGGGATAGAGTTTCATAGTAGTGATGTAAATCCTGAAGGTCCTCAGAAATGCACATTTCTCACTTGATAAAGTTGCACCCATTAAATTCCCCTGTTGTATATTTTTGTTTGTGTCCTGGGAGAAATAGAGGGAAGGTGTTGGGGAGGGATGTTTTTGGAAATCTAGCGAGGCTTTCACTTTATTATTCCAGCAAGAGAATAAATTAAAATGAAGACTAGGGATTCTCACACTAAGGCCTTAGAAACATTGTTTGATTTTTCTGTAGTGCTGGGCATTTTATAAATATTTGTTGAATTGTAGTATTCCCCCCACCCAGTTTATTTTTGTTATCTCTCTTTGTTTCTCTGACTTGATTAATGGGAAAATCTTAAAAATCGGAGAGCCATTGTACCTGTTATGTATTAGGGGGGTGGGGGTGGCAACTAAGAAAGGAACTGGAAGGATTGTATTCTAATTATAGTCAAGATTTTGGGAGAAGAACCCTAAGTAACAGGTGGAGGCTGCACGGTGTGATGGGAAGAATAGGGGTTCTGTGAGTGAATCCTGTACCTTCGACTTTAGTTTTTCCAATCTGTAAAATGATGATGATGATGATGATGATGATAATGATACCAACTTTGAGGGTTGTTTAAAAATTAGAGTTAGTGTATGAAAAGTACATGTTATGTGATTGAGAGTAATTGAGATGTTTTGTTATCATCATGATTTTCACAAATGGATACACACACAGAAATCTCAAGACCTATGGTAAAAAAGAAAGTAAAGTGTGGCGAACTAAAAAACCAAACTCAGTGCCTCTAGTCGGTCCCAACTCATAGTGACCCCTTCTTGGGTTTCTGAGGTGGTATCTCTATGGAAGTAGACTGCTCGGTCTTCCTTCCGAGGAGTGGTTGGTAGGTTTGAACTGCCAGACTTCTGGTTAGCAGTCAGATACCTTAGGCACTATACCACCAGAGCTCCCAAAGCATAGAGATATTTTATAATTGAAAAGGGGTTCGGTTGTAACTAGTAGTAGAAGTGCTTGCAGGTTTACTTTCTTTGCTGATTTTCTAAGATTTCGTGCAGTTGGGTAGAGCATCATGCTACAACAATATAATTAGAATGTTTAACAGTGTAATTTATCTATTTCTGAACTGTTTTTAGTTCTGTGTAATACAAGACCAATCAAATAAAAATTTAGTGTGTGAACGTAAGGATTTTCAGGAAAGGTTTCAACCATTATTGGAAACATTACTTGGAACCTATGGCGTATGTTTTTTTTTTTTTTTTAAATTGTGGTCATCCATTCAACAAATATTTATTTAAGTACATACTATTTTAGGTACTATTCTAGGCTCTCTGTGCTGGATTTGATCTATTCTAGATTTGATGCATGGAATACCAACGACCGAAAACCAAAAGAATTGTGGGAGGATATCAAGAACATTATCCATGAAGAAAGTAAGAGATCACTAAAAAGAGGAGAAGAGAAGAGAAGACCAAAATAGATGACAGAAGAGACTCTGAAACTTGCCCTTGAGTGGAGAGTAGCTAAAGCAAATGGAAGAAATGACAATATAAAAGAGCTGAACAGAAGATTTCAAAGAGCAGCTCAAGCAGACAAAGCCAATTACTTACTATAATGAAATGTGCAAAGACCTGGAGTTTGAAAACCAAAAGGGAAGAACACACTCAGCATTT